AATGTTTACATGACCTTAGAGTACAGAAGTTAAACATATCAAAAGCAGGCAAAATGAAGAAAGAGACATGTGGATTTGAATACTTATATAGTTAAAACTTCCATAACAAATTATAAACTGGGAGAAAAAGTATATTATACATGATCAAAAAAGAGTTAATAGTCATGGAAAATTATGAGTTTTTATACATTTATAGGTGAAAATATGTACCCAAAGGGAAAAAATGGGTAAAAGACATGATCAGATCATTCATTAAACATATATAAACATACAAATGGCCAACATATTTGGAAAATGTTTCTTACCTAATAATCAAAGAGCTGGATTTAAAATGTGATACTAATATTAGCTGTTTGCAAATGCCCAAGGAAGGCACAGCTTGGAAATGGCATTATTGTACATTGCTGGAAATGTCTCCACCTTACTAAAGGGCAATTGGATCAAACAAGTCACCTGAAGCCTATGAGAAGGGCACTCCATTTGATCCAATGAGTTGGATCAATCCAATTCTGAAATCAGCATGAAATTTATGGCTAAGGAAGCAGAAAGGACCCACATATAGAGAGAAGAAATAAGACCAAGGGCAAAGATGTAGTCTAGGTTGTTAAGTTCTGAGTTATTTACTTTAGCATTTACTTCTGATCATCTTTGCCAGTAGGTTTTAACAGTGATTGCCTTCTCATAGCAAGAAATCACTTTAATTATATGTTTGCCACTTGAAAACTCACCATAGAAAAAAATTATCTGTTTTATATGGTATCAGAGGGGACCCCCTCACAAGTTTTTTGTTTTGTTTTTTTAATTTTAGGGGCAAAGTTTAAGTATATTACATAATAACCCTGAACAGTGAGCAGTGAAATCGCATGTGTAAATTTAACATATTTCTTTGTTTTGCGTAAGAAGTTTTCTGATGGCCTGTGGCTTGTCAGATGGGCAAGGATGAGAAAGGCAGTCTCTGCTGAACTGGAAATGGCACATTTCTGGATCAAGCTGACTGTAAGATCTTTCCAGAAGTGACTCTTCCTTAAATATGAACTAGAGACACTTGAATATGGCCTGGAGATGCCTCTCCTCATCTCCTCAAGCAGAAGAAGTGCTGGAATTGCACATCTGAACCTGCCCATTCTGCTATAGATGTTCCTACTGTGCAGAGTAAAATGAGGAGTAACTCTCCCCATCCCTCCTCCTAGTCCCTGGCTCCCCCCACCCAGTTCACGAGGCCCTGATGAGGAACAGACAGGCTAAGGGACAGCATGCATGGAACTGGAGGAGATTATGCTCCGTGAGATAAGTCAGAAGGAAAAAGACAAGTACAGGATGATTTCCACTCAAAGTGGAATACAGAGAAAGCGAATAAAGGAGTTGACAAAACTAAACCAAAGAAAGCCTAGAAATAGGAGTACAGAATTGAGGCTGCTAGGAGAGAAGAGTAGGTGGGAGTGGGCACCAAGGAGGGCGGGCTCAGTGGTATAGGATACAGGACTGTGGGTGCTTGGATCGTGGGGTGGGGTGGTGACATACATCTGAGGAGGTGTGAACCTCTTCCCCTAAACCATATACAGTGTTGCAAATCCGTGTTACCTCAATAAAGGAAGTAAAAAATCCTTTTGAAAGGGTCACCATTTATCATGATCATTGTTATTCAAATGTGATACATGTCCAGCAAGCCAGAGATAGGGAATTCTAACAAGTCATTAAAACATCAAGAGATGGGGCCTCCCCGGTGGCGCAGCGGTTGAGCACTGGGTTGCAAAGCTGCCCGCAGCCTCTGCAGCGTCAATCCCGGCATCCCGGCTGCTCCCTGGCCACCGGAGGAGGGTCCCACATGGTACGCAGACCTCTCCTGCCGCCCTCAGCAGTGTACTTCGTCAGTCTGCCTGCTCTGCTCCCCGCTCTGGCTCTGGTGAATTCTCTCACCCTCCTGCGCTTCTGACTGTACCCAGTGCTTGTATAAATAAATAAAAATAAATCTTTAAAAAAAAAAATCAAGAGATGTAAGAAAAGGTGATGCACCCTAAATGTTCATCAATAGATGACTGGATAAGGATGTGATATATACATATGGAATGTGACTTGGCTTTTTTTTTTTTTTTTTCGCAGACTGAAACTCTTACTTTATTAACAGATAATCGGGGGAGAGCACGAACGCAGTCCCCCACTACCACAAATTATGCAGTCGAGTTTCCCACATTTGGGGAAATCGCAGGGGTCAGCACATCCGGAATGCAATGGATAAGCCTCGCCCTGGGAAAACCACCTTCGTGATCATGGTATCTCCCCTGCCAGGTAAGTATTATTTTTTTAAAGATTTATTATTTATTTATACAAGAACTGGGACACGGTCAGAAGCGCGGGAGGGCGAGAGAATTCACCAGAGAGAGTGGAGAGCAGAACAGGCACATGGACAGAAGACACTGCTGAGGGGAGCAGCGGGCAAGGCAGGAGAGGTCTACCACACCACGTGGGTTTCTCCCTGGCCGGCCGAGAATCGAACCCATGCTGCAGAGGCTGCGGACAACTCCACAGCACAGCGCTCAACCCGCTGCGCCACTGGAGAGGCCCTACTCGGCTATTTTTTTAAAGATATATTTATTCATGCATACAAGAACTGGGGTACAGGCCAGAGGTGTGGGGAGGTGAAAGGAGTCACCAGAGACAGAGTGAAGAACAGAACAGGCAGACTGACTGAAACATACTGCTGAGGGGAGCAGCGGGCGAGTCAGTAGAGGTCTGCTGTGCCATGTGGGTAGCTCCCTGGCCGGGGTACGAACTCATGCCACAGTGGCTGCAGAGAGCTTCATAGGTTGCATCTTAACCCCTTGCACCACCAGGGAAGCCCCTACTCAGCTATTTAAAAAAACAAAAAACTGAAATCCTGCCATTTGCAACAACATGGGTGGACCTAGGAGACATTTTGCTCAGTGAAATGTCAGACTGAGGAAAAACAAACACCGTATGATTTCACTCATATGTGGTAAATAAAGAAACAAAACAAATGAACTAAAAATAACATAAAATAAACCTTCAGACTATCAGACCAAATGAGTGGTTACAATGAAGGAAAGGGGAAGGAAGGTAAATCTGGTAAAGGGGCTAAATCATATGGTGGGTTTGGATTTGCATTGGTGAACTTACTGTAGAATACACAGATGTGGGCCTCCCCGGTGGCGCAGCGGTTGAGCGCTGGGTTGCGAAGCTGCCCGCGGCCTCTGCGGCGCCGGTTCGATCCCCAGCTGCTCCCCGGCCACCGGAGGAGGGTCCCACATGGCGCGCAGACCTCTCCTGCCGCCCGCTGCTCCCCTCAGCAGTGTACTTCGGTCCTTCTGCCTGCTCTGCTCCCCGCTCTGGCTCTGGTGAATTCTCTCACCCTCCCCCGCTTCTGACTGTACCCAGTGCATGTATAAACAAAACAAACAAACAAACAAATAAATAAATAAAACATGCCTCTATTAAAAAAAAAAAAAAAAAAAAAGAATACACAGATGTGAATGTATAATGATGCACACCTGAAAATTATATAATGTTATAAGGCAGTGTTCCTTCAATTTAAAAAAAAAAAGAAAAAGATGCAACAAAAAGGACCAAGAGAAGGTTCTGATGAGCACAAAGAAATCAGGGGGAAAAGGAACATTTAGAAGATTTAGAAGAAAGTCTGCTTCTCTGGCACATCTGTGGGATTCAAGATAATTATTTCCATTTCTTTAGGCAGGAATAGCACCTTACATAACCAAGGCACTTTCCACACTTGTCTTGTCAGCTGATTTACGCCATGGCACTGTCTGGGCGGAGAGAATACACCAGCCAAGCTGACTTAATGTGGATATCCTTTAACTCAACACTGTTTTCCACCCCTGCTTATCTGCTCAACAAACCACATAAAGATCTAGGAGGGTAGCTTTTAAACAAATTCCCTTTTCTCCCTTCATCTGGTTCAAGGAGCCCCTTCCTTTCTGAACCTGTGGGGTGGTCTCAGGGGTGGTCTCACAGAGCAAACAGCAAAAAAGGAAGCTACCGGTCTTTGGTAAATGTGGTCTGGGGACCTCAGGTGCTGGTGCTCTTCTGGTACCCCGAAATCAGAAATAGGAAGCCTCTCTACTCTACCCTCCTTTACCCCAGATCAATCTGGAAACTGCAGAAAAGTCTGGAGCTTGAAGTTAGAATCCTGGCCCCTTTTTCTCCTTGCTGAGTTAACCACATTGGGCCATCAATGGTTCTTTCTCCTTCTGCTCCACCAGCCTCTCTTATTGGTGGGAGTGAACGCACTTGGGGAACCTTCAATACAGAAAACCAGAGGCCAAGACCAGAGGTCAATACAGAAGACCATCAGACCAGATCTGATGGAGCAGAGACAGAACATCCCTTTCTCAGCACACAAGCCGCTCACCTCTAACAGGTAGGCGCCAATGCGGACATACACTCAGAGGTTTTTTGACAGACTGGCTGTTCTGCTACATGACACTGTTCTCTCCAGGCAAAAGTGCCCCAAATACCCTCTTCAGCCTTAAGAACCAGTTATGGAGTTACCATCCATTACTAATTTTAAACCTTTCCTTAAATTGTTCACAATGTCCACCTGAGCTGTCCCCTTCATAAACTGCCACAAATCTATTAATCCATGAGTAGGATTTGGTGACTGTCAACTCCCAGCTTCACCATTTATTGGCTATAGCAATGGTCAGGTCAAGCCCCAGCAGCCTTTGCTCATTTGCAATGTGCTACTCCTGCAGTTAGAAGGTCCAAGAAGGTAATTTAGGAGAATTGCTGTGTGGATGCTGCTCTGGGCCTTATGGGATCTTGGGTTAATACAGGCTCTGGCCTGTAACCCAGATCTTGTATGCATAGATAAATAAATCTCTAAAAATAAATAAATAAAAGAAATACAGGCTGACGCTACTATTCCAGTGTCTGTTCCTCTGATATTTCAATTGGTGCCCCTGATTCAAACATACTTGAATACGGCCAAGCCCACACCCCACCCTCCTGGTTTCCTAGAACTCAACTGTGTCTGTCCTCCACCGTGCTCATGCCAGAGGCGCCTTTCTCGTCAACGTTCTCCAGCTCTTGACCACAGGTCTCTCTGGAGATGGAGGGGAGATGGCAGCCCTGAGAATCATTTCCAGGGTACATGGACTCATCTGTGCACGTGTCGATTTTAAGTATTAAAAGCAGCCCGAGACAAAGAAAAGACGTTTGTAAGGAAGGTATTGATCAAAACAAAACCCCCACAAGCCGGAAGAGGCAAAAAGCCAGGGCTGGGTTCTTAACCAAAGACTGCCTCTCTCCCGCTGCGCGGGCCTTTCTCGGCTTGGAAGCCCCCAGGGCCCCGGAGCCCGGCCCGGCCCCCCAACCTCCGCCGGGCTCCCGGCCCCGGAAGCCCGGGAGAAGCGCCCCTTCTTTACACCTCGCGGCCCTCCTACCCCTTCCCCAGTGCAGCCCGGCTTCGCGCTCGGGATCCTCCAAGGGGCGCGCCGCGGAGATCAACGCACCCAGCACAGGCGAGCTGAGGGAGGACCCGAGTGGGGCGAACCCACAGTCGAAGGCAAGAGGGGGGCGGCCGCCGCCTGCCCCTCCGCAGAGGCGCGTTCGGGGGTTGCCGGGACACCTGCCCCGCAACGCGCTGCCAAGGCTTCCCGGTCCTGCCCCCTCGCCACGTCCTTGCGCGCGTGATGGCGTCTTTCCAGAGGGCAGGTTCTGCAGCCAAGGCCGGGCGTCGGAGGCAAAGGCCACTGGAAAACCTGCTTAGGGTTCCTGGATTTTTTATTTTAGGAAATGTGGTTCTCTCCCGGCAGTTTTCTTTATTGGAACTGTAGCTCTGGTGGCATTGAAGATGAGGCGCCACAAAGCTTGCAAATGCCCGCTTGTAATTGGCATTGATTAGACAAGATCACCTACCACTTGCAGCGCGCCTTCCTGGGCTAGGCGCCCTGATGGATGTCGTCTTCCTTCAGCAGCCAGCTGTGATTTCAAAATAGAAAGCTAAATTTGAGCAAGGGCTTGCTCAAGGTCACCCCCAAACCAGATTCTTTTCCAAGTTTCCTCACTCCAAATCTTCACTCTCTTTGCATCACACCAACTTGAATTTATCTTCCAAATTCTTTTCAGCATCTAATCACTCTTGCATGAAAAGCATTTCTGCATATTCAGTTTAAGTCCCTCAACACAAGTTCAAACCTAATTTCTCTTGGTGAAATGAAAAAGAAATTAGACTGCTTTTATTGTGAATAACATTTTCTTAGTGCTTATAAAAGAAATGAGTGGTCATTGTCAAAATTTTGGAAAATACAGGAAAAAAATGTTAAGACCCATAATGCCACAATTCAGATAAACCACTTTTCCTAGGCAACTATTGCTGTTTACAAATCACCCCCAAACTCTGTTGCCTTAAGCAGCTTATCATGATTACCTCCTCCTTCTGGGGCTTGCCTAGGCTAAGCCCAGCTGTCCAGGCTTGGAGCGCTCATCTCATGCAACTGCAGCCAGAAGGTGGCTCAAGTTTCCTCACTCATTTGTCTGATGACTTGTGTGGACCATCTGCTGGGGCTTTTGGACACATCCATGTGCTTCCTCAAAGCATGGATTCTGGGTTCCTGATATAAACATCTCAGGAAGACCAGGCAAAAGCTGTATTGCTATCATAGTAAGGGATGCAGAAAGAGACTTGACCACTCCTCTCAAGGTCACATTGTGTGAAGAGCCTAGGGGGTGGGGGTTAATTGGGGCCATCTTAGAATATACAACCTGCCACACCACTACTCATATTTAGGACTATTTCCAACTTGTCATTTTTCTGTGCATAGATATGTTGACATAATTGTAACTAAACTACATATACCATTTCCTATCTTTTTTTATTTAAAGCTATATCTCAGGCATTTTCTCACATTAAAGTTTTTTTAAAAAGTCATTTTATATATTTAATTAACCCACGGTAGAAGAGATTAACAATTTTGTAATAGCGATTTTTGCTGGCTAGTTATTACAGTCTATCCTAAGATGCTGTAATGCCAGGAGAAGAAATTTTTGTCTATTTTGTTCACTGCTATACACTAAGCATCTAGCACAGTGCCTGGCATATATGGGCACTCAATAACCATTTGTTTAATCAATGAATAAATGGATGGATATACGGACAGATGGAGGGACTGATGATTAAAATGGCCTAGGCTCCCTATCCCTTTCACACCCTCCTGGAAGGAAAGAGACCAGGTCTCTAATCTGCATCTTCAGGTTCCAAGACACTGAGAACATCTGTTGGTCCCCAGATTGCTGGACATGGGAGTCAATTACAGAGCCAAAACTCTCACCTTCAGTGAGTCCTATGAACTGTGACTCTTTTTTTTTTTTTTTTTAAGATTTATTTATTTATTTATACAAGCACTCTGGTACAGTCAGAAGCGCAGGAGGGTGAGAGAATTCACCAGAGCCAGAGCGGAAAGCAGAACAGGCAGACTGACGAAATACACTGCTGAGGGGAGCAGCGGGCCTAACAGGAGAGGTCTGCACACCATGTGGGACCCTCACCCAGCGGCCGGGGATAGAACTAGCGCTGAGAGGCTGCGGGCAGCTTCACAACCCAGCGCTCCTGCGCTCAACCGCTGCACCACGGGGGAGGCCCTGAACTGTGACTCTTAAACCTGTTTCTCTGCAGTTTTAAAACCTCCTCGACACTTTGCCTTCATCCTTGGGCAAGTTTTAGATGTCTCCAGTTCTGGGCCTGCTCAGGTGACTGGCTGCAGGGTTTGGTGGGTTGCTTGAGTTACCTCAGAGGTGTTCTTACACAACCAGAACTGGTGCCAGAAGGTTTCCTTGCACAGCAGCCAGGGGTCAACCTGGTTTGGCAGCCAGGAGAATGGCGGGTGCTGGTGTGGCCTCCTGAAGCTAAAAACAAACTAACAAAACCCTGTGGCTATAGCCAGGAAGCTGAGTACCCAGGAAAAAGAAGGATATATTTCCAGGGTTCTCTTGCTTGGGACATGACCAGGTGACTCCTCCACTGGCTGCATGCCCCAAACCAAACCCTGGAGGAAACTACACGGGAACAGAGGGAATGTGGCCCCCTGACATCAACTATACCTCTGGACTTAGGGACCTCCTTGGGGATGTGCAGTGCGGAACCCTGACGTGCCAGGAGCCTGGGGTCTGAATGAGCACGGAAAATGGGACTCTAGGGCCACCGCTGGCACATAACGGGTGTCTGTGCCTAAGTATTACGTTGAGTCATATGAAATGGCAGTCTTTGTGTGTCAAAGACTTCAGCCCCCAATGTCTCCATCCGTCCTGTGGAGCCCCACTGTGTGTTTGACTTGGAGCTCACTCTGAGAAGGGATAACAGACAGGAGGCAGGTTGGTGGAAGCAGGTGGTGGGCGGGCTAAAGCTAACACCAAGAAGGAAGATTCTGGTTCTTCCTTGGCCTGAACGCCTCCTATGATCCCAGACCCTTAAGAGCAGCGGGGCCAGCTCTAAGAATTAGATTCTACTCCTCCAGATAAAGGGGGAGTGATATCAAATAAACCTGACCCTGTTTTTTGGGGTCTTGCCAAAACACAAAGTACCGGCTGAGGAGGAAACTTGAACCTGAAAGGATGGTATTACTTAACGGCTGATCCATCAGGGACATTGGTAAAATGCCTCTTGTGTTTGGTAACCTCAGTAGTTGCAAGTTAAAGCAGGAGGTAGGTCTTAAACACTATCTCACCCCCCACCTCCACCCCAGCACCCTGGCAAACTGGTCATAAAGGAGAACCTCGCCTCCCAATGTCAAGACAAAGTCACATAGACCTGCAGAGATATGCTTTTCCAGAAGAACACACCAGAGGGCAGTGTAAACCAGGACATGGGAACTAAAATGTGATGGGACCTGCACTGCTCTGCTCAAGATAAAGTGTCAAAGAACCTCAAACAAAGAGAATACAGGGGAATGGATGTTGAGTGGATTACTGTAGGACAGTTGCCTGGGAAAATCGTCAATGATAGGCAGAGGAAGCCTGGCACCAGCTACCATGAGCTCCCAAATCCTCAAAGGACCTCAGCATCCGTTCAGGGTAGAAAAGAATTACAAGCACCTCTGATGTTCCAGGCACTGTGTCAGGGCAGGGATTCAGAGATAAGTAAAACTCAGTCCCTTCTCTAGTTGTGTGCCTATGAGTTGTGTGCCAATCTCTTTAAATTCATTACCACATTTAATCCTTACACCAATCAAGTGCTGTGAGAATCATCCTCATTTTACAGACAGGCTCAGAAGGTGTGGAGAGACTAGTCCATTTCATAACTGGCAACGTTGGGGTTTAAAGCAGGTCTCTCTAGAGTCAGATCCAGGATGGTCACCACTATATTAGAACCTTCTTAATCGGTGTTCTCAACAGTGAGGGGGTCCATTTGCCATCTCCATAGGCAATCTCACAGGCCATCTGGCTGCCAGATGAGATCCAGGTGGTGTGTGTCCCCAGAAGCACAAACATCCCCAGGGTTTGCGTTTCTGTAACATAAATAAATGACTACGATTTTCAAGAATATATAACATAAACAATATAACACACAAGTAAATATACCTGTATATGTAAGTGCAATGTCCGTTCTCTATAGCCTTGGAAGAGAGGAGGAGGAATTTGATAGGCTGTGGGATTCCTTGAATACCAGGTCTGAGCCAGTATGGAGTGGGAAGTCATTGCACATCTCTTAATTGAGGAATGAAGAAGCAAAAGAGCCACATTCTGCATATCCTCCTATCTTTCTTCACACCTCCAGGTCTACTCCCTGCTGTCCCTACCCTGTTCTGTGCCCAGAGGCTGACCTGTATGAACTGCATCCCCCAGCTCCCGTGGGAGGCCAATAGGGAGGTGGGAGAAAGGAGGGAGAGAAGAAGTCAGAGTATTTATTCCCTAGGCCCCTCTCTTGGGCCCTCAGCTCTCTATGCCCCTCTCCCTAAGGTCAGGGCTCCCCACACAGCTCTGAGGTCCAGTAACGTCTCCCTCCCCTAGACCTTCAAGTGATATATAGCAGTAACTTCCCATTGTTAAAACCATGGTCCTGGTGGTGCAGCGGTTGAGCGCTGGGCTGCGAAGCTGCCCGCAGCCTCTGCACTGCCGGTTCAATCCCCAGCCGCCGGGCAAGGGTCCCACATGGCGCGCAGACCTCTCCTGCCACCCGCTGCTCCCCTCAGCAGTGTACTTCGTCATTCTGCCTGTTCTGTTCCCCGCTCTGGCTCTGGTGAATTCTCTCACCCTCCCACGTTTCTGACTGTACCCAGTGCTTGTATAAATAAGTAAATAAATCTTTAAAAAAAAAATCAAAAAACATGGTCCTTTGCCCTATTCTTAGTTGACCCTAAACTCTACTTGCACCTTTGTGACGAATGCCTTTATTCTACTCTGCATTCACCCAGCCTGAGTGTGCCATGTCTTTCCCTGTGGAACACTTGTTATGTATTAGTCTGATATGATGGGAAGGCTGGTAGGAGGGCTGTCTGAGGTGGTGGGCCAGGCCAGAAGGGACTTATTGTGTAGGGGAAGTCAACCCTACACAGAGAAAGGAAAGGCAACTCCAAGATCTGTAACCTGTGGATACCAGATCCTGGGAAATGCA